ATGCGAGATGACTACGAGGGGCATGACGGGCACGAGTGGTGCCGCCGCCATTGCCACTGGCACCCTGGGTTTGGCATGCGCTGCTATTGGCGTTGCTGGTAGATGCGTCAACCAAATCTGAACACGCAACATTTTGGTCGCACGTCCTTTGTGTCTTGACAGAGTGCTGTTACGAGTCGCTCTCTGTTGTGTCCATGTTGTATCAGCTCTGTATCAGGGTATCAAGTCACCGCGGTCGAGTGTATACCGGCAACAATTCTGGAAGACCTCTGGTGACACAGACAATTACTCAGTACTTGCCGCTCGAGCTCGGTGGCGTTGTGCCGGGGTTGTCTGTGTTCAACCAGCTGCAAGGACGCGTCTGCGTGCGTCAAACGCTACGCATTGGTGCGACTCGCACGAAGCAGCTGGAAGAACTTGGCGAGCTTGCCAACAGCGTACAGCTGCTCTGCACGGCACGCACCTCAAACCAGAGGGTGTCAAAAGCCTTCGAAAGGCCGGTGCCCAACCATCACATAACACAATGAGCGACGCGGACGACACGCGCTCCAGTTCTCCAAAACAGGTTGCATCCAAGACGACGCGCACAGCCAAAGCCTCGGCACACAAGGCCACCGACACGCTCGACGACAAGGCTGCTCGTCTCGATAAGCAACGCCAGGGCAAAGCACCTGCACGCGCCGTCCACAAGGCCATCCACACGCAAGAGTTGTCACGGCCAAAAAGCCGCGCTTCGACGCACGCAACTCGATCAACATGCTCAAAGCGACTTGTCAAAATCTCATGGTGCGGGCTGCGGCCAAGGCTGTGGTCTCGTTGTCGTGGACGTTGAGAGCACGAGAATTCGCTGCACCATGTTCAACGATGCCGCGACCCGCTTCGACACCTAGCTCCAGCTCAACGACATCTGCTGCATCACGAATGCGCTGGTCTGTAACCACCAAGATTTCTGTCGTACTTTGACATCCGATTGTTCAAGGACACCATCGTCCGCTCGGTCGACGACGACTGCTGTGTGCCGGAGATCCATGTCTCCGCGACCATTGCAACGCTGCCCACGCACAAAGTGATCGATAACGTTTGCATGCTCGCGATCTGCCACGCCCTTGAACCCAGCACCGACGACAAGAGTCTTGCCACGCGGGTTGATGACTTGGCAGGCAGCTCTTGCGCCACCATTCGACCTGCGTTGTTCGGCAAGTATGTCCATTCAGCGACACAAGATTCGGTTGGTCAGTGTTCTAGCTTCAACGTTTCAAAGTCAACAACGAGCGCGCCATCTCAGCCTCCACCCAAGCATGCATTTCCATCGCTGCATCGTAGCCCAAGGCCAAGCGTCGTCTTCACTTGGTACAGCACTAAGTGAGCTCATCCTCAGCCTCCTTGTCCATCGACTGCATTTCCCCTCCGCAATTCATTCTAACCACCATCATGTAACTTTTCATTTTCACTCCACTCTCTTTCTTCTTTGCAAATGGAGAACATCTCCTGCAATTTCACTTTACCACAAAAAAGAGGTTTTCTACTAGCCACATCTGCAGGAACCTAGTAAACCAGTTTGCCTATACGATCTCAGATGCGACGATGACAACAAGGACGTAAGCATGACCTCGCAGAAAAACGACGTGCTCGTCGATTCCGATCTGGTATCGTCGGGAGTGGTTGATGGGTCGTTCACTCGCGACCAGCGATGGCTATCGACCACTTGGATCCGACTTTAGATTTTGTTGAGCTGCAGTTTGCGATTGCACCTATGAAGCCCACGACGAT